GTCATCTTCCCTTTACAAGCTTCAAACATGCCTGTAGCTAATGAGATTGAATATAACAATCAAAAATAACAAAATATACACAGCTAGATCAGATGGCGTTTTAGATGCGACTTTAGAGTAGAGGGGAATTATTGAAACGGGATTTGTACAGTTTTCCGCGGCACAGTTTCATGGAAACACATCAGGTTTTGGACGACAGTCAATATGGATTCAGGAAAGATAGATCAACATCTATGGCACTAATGGAATTAAGTGAGGAAATAGCAAACTGCATGGACAATAAAAAACAAGCAGTGGGAATATTTATAGACTTACAAAAAGCATTTGACACCATAGATCACAATATTTTACTGATAAAACTGGAACGGTATGGCATCAGAGGGGTGGGATTAAACTGGGTGAGAGATTATTTAAGCAACAGACAACAATTTGTTGAAATTGGTGAACATAAATCAGAATACATGAACATAACTTGTGGAGTACCTCAGGGGTCCGTGTTGGGTCCAGAGCTGTTTATAATATACATCCATCCATCTTCTCCCGCTTATCCGTGGTCGGGTCGCGGGGGTAGCAGTTCCAGCAGAGAGCCCCAAACTTTCTTTTCCCTGGCGACATCAACCAGCTCTGACTGGGGGATCCCAAGGCGCTCCCAGGCCAGCGAAGAGATATAATCCCTCCACCTGGTCCTAGGTCTACCCCTTGGTCTCTTCCCAGCTGGACGTGCCTGGAACACCTCCCTAGGGAGGCGCCCAGGTGGCATCCTAACTAGGTGCCCGAACCACCTCAACTGGCTCCTTTCGACGCGAAGGAGGAGCGGCTCAACTCCGAGTCCCTCCCTGATGACCGAACTTCTCACCTTATCCCTAAGGGAGACACCAGCCACCCTGCGGAGAAAACCCATCTCGGCCGCTTGTATCCGCGATCTCGTTCTTTCGGTCATGACCCATCCTTCATGACCATAGGTGAGGGTAGGAACGAAAATGGCCCGGAAGACCGAGAGCTTTGCCTTCTGGCTCAGCTCCCTTTTCGTCACAACGGTGCGGTAAAGCGACTGCAGTACCGCTCCCGCTGCTCCGATTCTCCGGCCCATCTCACGCTCCATTGTTCCCTCACTCGAGAACAAGACCCCGAGATACTTGAACTCCTTCACTTGGGGTAAGGACTCATTCCCTACCTGAAGTGGACAGTCCATCGGTTTCCTGCTGAGAACCATGGCCTCAGATTTGGAGGTGCTGATCCTCATCCCAGCCGCTTCACATATAATATAATTTTATCGTTTATAATATACATCAACGACATTTGCAGAGTATCAAATATATTGAAATTTATTTTATTTGCAAATGACACTAATATTTGTTGTTCCGGTGACAATTTGAAAGAGCTAATGGAAGTGATAACAGCAGAAATGATTAAAGTAAAACATTGGTTTGACACAAACAAATTATCATTAAATATAAGCAAAACAAAGATTATGTTATTTGAAAAACATAAAACAAATCCACAGATACAATTAATACTAGATAACATACACATAGAAAGAGTATATGAAATTAAGTTCCTTGGTGTGGTTTTAGAGCACAACATCAGCTGGAAACCTCATATCACTCATGTAAAAGCAAAACTGGCTAAAACTATCGCAATATTGGGAAAAGCCAGATACATTCTGGACTATAACTCATTGTATACTCTATATAACACACTCATATTGCCATATCTGATTTACTGTGTGGAGATTTGGGGAAACACGTACAAAACCAACCTACAGCCGTTATGCACATTACAAAAAAGGGCTATAAGAGTTATCAATAATGTTGGATATCTTGAACACACTAATGTATTATTTTTGAAGTCACACATATTGAAGTTCATTGATCTGGTTACATTTAAAACGGCACAAATCATGTACAGAGCCAGACATAATCTACTTCCTAGGAAATTAAAAACATTGTTCGTAGACAGAGAGGGTGGGTATCATTTGAGAGGAAATCTACATTTTAAACAACTCAAGGTCAGAACAACTCTGAGAAGTATGAGTTTAACAATCTGTGGGGTGATTTTATGGAATGGTTTGGAGCAGGAGTTAAAACAAAGCACAAGCATAATTCAGTTTAAAAGGATGTACAGAAACACTTTTTTGGAAAACTATGAGAATGAAGAAAGGGGATTGAAGATGAGAAATGATTGTATATGTATAAATGTAAATGTAAGTAGGAATAACTTGCATAATGATTTAAAGGACAATCATTGATCAAGTAAGGGGTGAGAATTAATAAGCATTTGCTTCCTCCTGCTCCCTTTCGGACACATATGATTTATTATTATTATTATTAATATGAAGACTTTTTTTGTTTTTTTTGTTGAATATACAAATATTACCATGAATGTGGATAAATACTGTATTATAACAATACGGTATTCTGTTTTTCACATTTGTTATTTTTTAATCTGTTCGAAATAAAGACTGAAAAAAAAAAAATAATAATAATCTGCTGCTGCGAAAATGTGGGGCAAGGCTGAAAAGTGGGGGGGCCAATGGCCCCCCCCGCTTCCGGCGCCCTTGATAGGTTCATCCATCTTCTGGAGACTCGTTAAGCGCATTGTCTTTTTACAATAAAGAATATAAGAATATTCAAGAGCTTCAGTAATCTCCAATTCAGAATCCCGTTCTCCTGGAATTATTCGAAGTTCATGTTTATGCTGACTGAATAGCTAGATTCCAGGAACATCTAGTGAGAACAGTACAAGGTACCTGTCAGCCAATAAGACAGATGTGTATTTCCATTCAACTCTCTGGTTGGTCTGGTGTCTTGCCTCTGTTGCATTCACTGAACACGGGAAATTACAATCCTGCCGTCCTCTCTAGTGTCATGATGAGGTTCAGGTAAAGCACGGTTAATGTATTATATTATTGACTCAATAATATAATACATGACTTTGAGAGTAGGCAATCTCTCTAATCTTTTTTGCTAGGGGTCCCTTAGTGGCTGCGGGGCCCTAAGCGGCCGCTTATGTCGCTTAATGGGTTGGCCTTTAACAAACAAAGTAAGAAGTATCTGACTTTCCTTATGTCTTTGTGCACTGCCTCAAATGATCTCTTGTTACAGGAGGCACTTCAGAGACAGTACATTACTTCAAAATAAAAGCGTTTTGTGTAGCAGTAACACCAATTACGTAATTTTGGGTGACTAACATTTATTGGACATTATTAATAATAATTTGCGTTTTTTGTTACCATTTCAGTGTTATATTTAATGTATGTTATGTAAATATGAATGAGATTTATTTATTGGGAAAAAAATGAACTTGGTATTTTAAATAAATTGCAATTTATGTATAAAACAATTGTTTTAATTTTTGAATTTAGTACCATTGCAAAGACAATCTCTATTTATTCAACATATATAATGAATGTGAGTATTAGGTCAACGTCATGTATTTTGGTGTCTGCAAAAGTAAGTGACAGTACTTCCACCTTTTCTGTAGAATGACCCGGCCTGATGAATTCAGACCTGTCATTGCCCTATGTCCCCCCCCACAACCTGAGATCCTCAGATGCTCCTGGACAATTACAGATTTCAGTTACAAATACAGAGCAGATAAAGCATTTGCAGTCAGGGCTCCTGGACTCTCAAGAGGATTATTTACACTGCTGTGTATATGACATTACAAACTTTGAACTTAACAGTATATTCTCTTTGCACAAAGTTACATCTGAGAAAGGCTTGAAAGCTAAATAAGAGGCACTTTCGCAGAAGTGTTATGCAATGAGGAGTGAGTGGTGCAGGCAGGCTCAGACACATCAACATGCTGCTCTGACCGTCAGTGAACCTGGTAATCTCTGCAGGAACTGGCACATGGTGCAGGGTTTACAGCAGTAAGCTCCTCCTGCTCCTACAATCGCTTTTGGTCATTTTTTTTATATAAAAATGGTGCAGATCTTTGTTATTCCATAGTTCTCTATCTATCTGTATGTATATAAATAAAAACATTCATCAATGTTAAATAAACAGTACCTAGACAATAGTTGTGATTAGTTTTTATCAGCTATTTCAGATACTTTGAATGCTCTCAGGCTGCAAACCGATTTGAATGGTCAGTATCTGTAGATTCGACTCTTGCTAAACTATTTTACAAGTAACTTTTGTTAAATGGTTGGAGTGAAGGGCAGCTTTGGTCATTTGTGTACTACGTTTTCCCCCTGAAAAATAAATGAACAGCACTTATCCTTCAAGAATCTTTGTCACAGTACATTGTAGAATGCATGTGCCCACCTACACGATATTTGGATGTTGTAATAAAACAAATGTGTGCTTACCTGTGTGGTGTTGGAGCTGCTGTCCCCAGCAGTGTCCTCTCAGGTTAATCAGAGGGAGCAGTACCGTACACACACAGATTACAGGAACCTGCTGTCAACACTGTGATGTAACACTTCCCTGTCTCCAGCTCCATTTTCTCTCGTTCCTCTGTGGAGGCCAAACCGATGCAGGATTCCTAAACCAATGTGAGGTTCTATGGTATAATAATCTACATTTTGAAAACATAACAAATGTCCTGACTGCCTTTATATTAACCAAACATTCTGAGTGTGAGGCACTCAGCAGGGCGACAGCTGTCTGACACTGCAATCCAAACCAAGACTGCACACCTCCCTCAGGTCTGACAGAAAGGATTAACCCAACAGTTTCAGACTTCCTTTCCAAGGAACTTGCACTGAACATAAACGTAATAAATAACTTCCAGGAACAACAGTGGGTATGAAAAGCAGCATTGTCAGTATCACTTAGTGCACTCCTTACACAATATAACCCCAACAAGAAAGAAACTAAAGCTATGCTGTTCATGTGTGATTTCATAAAATATATAAATCAAAAAGAGATTATGTATAACTAGGTTTATGACTACACGTTTTTCAAATGAGTTTGAATAAATTGCTCAAATCTGTATTTTATTATGTTTACAGTATATTTTTTTTCTGGTAACGCTCGAGGAACTTCCAACAATTTAAAACATGATCAGTGTCAACTTTAATTTGATCTGACAAACAGTTATACAGTGTGCACTTCACATGGAAAACATATAATTGGTTCCTTAGCTCATCAGTAAACAGAAGGATTTAGACAAACCACTTCAAAATCCTTTATTAACACCTGTACTCATGTACATGTTATTTACATGTGTTCTGCCGGGCTGATCCTGGCAGCTGCAGGGTTCACTCAGCGCTCTGCAGGGCCGAGGCCCAGGCTGCGTCACACGGGCCGTCAGGCAGGATCCAGCTGGGAGGGACCGCAGAACCATCGGGATGATCCGTTGGAATCACAAAAACATCCCACTCCCTCCTGAAAGAAAACACAGCCCCACAAATCAATGTCATTTCAATGACATGACAGCAGGGCATGTGAGCCTTCACTGTCACGTGACTAAAAAGTGTCTGTCAATCCATTTTCACTCAATTCACTTGACATGTCATTTGATACGAGTTGCCAAAGGACTTTAAGGCACTACAATGATTTTGGTGAAACTGGATTTTTGTAATGTTTCCCCTCTGATGACCTCCGGCTGCTCTGCCTCTTGGATAGACAGTTTCCTGAGAGATACTTGTTGCTGGAGTAACAACCACTAACAGTAGCTGCCGTCAGTTAGTTAGCTGTTAGCACAGTGCTGAGGACTGGGCGCTTTGAGCACGTACACTCCGTGTTTCCCTCCGCTAGCAAAGGACCTTAGGGCTGCTGCTAGGAGGATGTTGGCATCACTGATGATATGGATTGTTTTGTTGCACTTTCATCCTGTTTGGCTGTGTTAGAAAAAATGACTCGCTATATTTGAATCATAAGTAATTTGATCAAAATGGATATATTTGCACCGTAAGAGCTGGATATATTAACAACAGCTGTGTATAACTCTATAGACACCACTTGTAGACCCCCGATCGTATCACATCACTACAGTCACTTATCTTGTATCTGAAGGGCTACTTCATTACTGATAGAAGCAAATATCAAAGAAAATGAACAAGTTCAGGCCGTAACCACTCTGGAGCGGCAGAGCACTGCAGACATTGACAGAAGCTGTGGAACCGCAGTGGCATTACCATCAGCCACATTTCACTCTGGGTAGAAAGTGATTTGAGAAGTAATGCGAGTCTACTTGTATGTACACATCACTTCATGTTTATTGTTGTTGAGCATCTCCATGACTGTGTAAGTACAAGGAGAGCATCACAGACATAAAGACAGGTAGAATAGAGCCAGGGCTCGACATTAACGACTGCCCGATGGCCCGGGGCCATCTAGTATTTAGCTCGGGCAATGAAGCCTCACCTGCTGGTTGCCCGATCGGGCAATCTATTATGCCAGTATCATGCAGCTCGCGGATCCAGTAATGAGTGACCCGACAGTAAAACTAAACATATCTATAACTAGTTTCGGTAGTTTGAGAGGTCATTAAAATAGCTACGTGTGATATTCTAACCTGAAGTGTGTGTTTTGTCCGCTCACCGCTGCATGTGATCATGCAGAGCTGCGTGTCGACTCGTCAGCAGCAGCTGATCTCTCTCTCCCGTCAGATTAGACTTCACTGGCGTTTATGTCCATATCGATCAGATCCAGCTAGTTCTAGCTAATGATATGACTACCTGCTTATTAAAAGACACCTAAACAATAAGCGTCGCTATGCAACCGGGTTGAGGGCCGCAAAGTATAGCGCAGCATTATGCATTTGTTTACATGCCCACCGGAACCCCGAGGCATTACCAACAGATCAACGCACAATCAACCCATCCAGGACATCTCTTTCTCCACATTAAGTGTTAGATATTAGAGTTGACTATTCTTGTCTTTCACATACTCTTCTTGTCTGTCACATAAGTGGCGCAACTGAAGCGGTATTGCACTAAAGGGAAATTATTTTGACCGAAGAGATTTAGATTTGCCGGCTAACGGGAACTCTGACGTCGCCATTTTGTGTGCTTCGCGGATGTGCTCGGCTCCTCTCGACTGCATTTTTCAGGGCAATCTCTATTGGGCTCAGGGCCATCTGTAAATTAGCTTAGACGGCCCAAAGGGCCATCTCCCAAAATCCTTAATGTCATGCACTGAGAGCGGTTTCTCATACAAATATCTGTAATTCATCATAAACATTTATTTACGTGTCCATTTCGGCTACCCCCATTTTGTTTATGACAGGCTGAAGGGCAGATGAAGATACCTGATTTGCAGAAGAGCGTGCAGGGAGTGCTCCGCCTGGGTGTAGTAATCTCTGAAGGGCTGCAGGACACAACCAGCAGGAAGCTCCTCTGAGACACACAGGGGAAACAAGGGTCACAGTATTATAAAAGCAGCCGTACTGTTACAGTATGGACTAAAGTGCTGAGGTGGAGGGAGGGAGCTGTTACCCCCGAACAACATGGCGTCCACTCTGCGTTTCCTCTGCAGCTGCTTCTCCCTCTCCTTCTTCGCTTGCTTCTCCTGCTCCCTCCTCCTCTCCTCCTCCTGCTCTCCTTCCAGCATCACCATCAGAGCTTTTCTCCTCGGAGGAGTAAATGCCCGTCCTCCTCTTCATCACACACCTCAGCTGCTCCAGCCTGCTGCTGAACGCCTCGTCGCATTCTCGCTCAGTGGAGACCCCTGCCAAGAACACAGCGACAAATGAGAGACGCACCGATAGCGATCAGTCTGATGACAGGAAGTCAGTCCATGTCATTCTTTATCCCAGTCGATTGTGGGTGAGTGCATTTTACTGACACAGCAACTCTACTACAGGTGTGCTACTTCAAAACCAGGGGTCACTCCCATATCTCCCACTGGGTAGCCTGCTATGGGATTAAGCTGCCTGGCTGAAACCCACCTTTCCTCGAGGCGGCCTCTTTCCTTAGCTTGCGCAGTTTCTCCAGAGATCTCAGAATGTCCTGCATCCTCTTCACGTCTGCCTGCTTCTTCCTCACCTCACAGAGAACAGAGTCTGCAGCCAGCTTCAGCTCCCTCTCCTGCAACAGAAACATGTCACTGTGGTTAACAGCTCATCGTGTCTGAATGAACGCACAGCCACAGCACGAGGTGATCTGTGCACAGCCATTTCTTATGTTTTGTATAATTAGGGCCCGTAATGTATTTCATTCAATCCTAAGACTGCCCCTGCCGCACCTTATAATAAAGGACATTTAATGCTTTATTGAACATCGAAAATCTACTTCCATTCCCTCCACGGCCCTGAAAGGAGGCAGAAAACTAACACACAATACAATGTTTATGGCTAGATGTGCGGTTTGTTTAAGGATATTGTTGAGATGAATAGAAATGAATAAAATAATTGAAAATGTTAACATGCCAGAAAAGAAACCTCCCTGTCAACATCTCTCATTGGAGACCCTGGTGCAGGGGATGAATGTGTCTACCAGTCAGAGGGTCAGCGGCAGATCTCCAGCCCCCGCTGTCACAGGCCAGATAGTAGGCGTGTCTACAGTATTGAAAAGTGTGTGAAAGGGCTTTGGGTAAAAGCCTCAGCTAAATGACATGTCATCAGCGCTAGTTCATATTTGACTTTATTTAGACATTAGTCAGGAGGACATATAAGTGGTGTAAAGTAACTAAGTACATTTACTCAAGTACTGTAATTCAGTACCATTTTGAGATGTACTTGATTATTTTGCCACTTTGTTCTTCAACTCCACTACAGTTCAGAGGTACATGGTGTACTTCTACTCCACTACAGTTCAGAGGTACATGGTGTACTTCTACTCCACTACAGTTCAGAGGTACATGGTGTACTTCTACTCCACTACATGTATTTAATCCCTTTAGTTACTTCACAGATGTGGATGAATGATGTGAAATATAATCAAGTGTTGAATCAGACTTTAGTTCCACCTGGAGTAAATCCACCAGCTACCCTGCAGTATACAAAGTCATTCAGACTAGCTGCACCTTTACCAGCTCTGAGAACACTTTCATGATCAATCATTATAAAACATATCATATATATTATTCTGAAATGGACCAATCAAACAATGACTACTTTTACTTCACTTTACTTTGCAGGACTTTTACTTGTAACAGAGTATTCCTCCTCTCTGGTACTTCTATGTTTCACAAAAGTAAAACTCTGCTGAATACCAATGTTGCTCTGTGTTTATAACTTACTTATAACACCTTTAAAAAGGTGTTTTTCTTTATTTTTCATGTTTTCTTTAAACTTATTTTGTCCCAAAGTGGAGACAATTTGTATCCAGCTTTGAATCATCAGGCAAATATGTGTACCTTCTTCTTCTCCTCCACTTCGTGTATCTTCTGCATCCTCCATTTGTCTATGGCCGCCTCCTTCTCAGTGATGAGCTGCTCCCGCTCCCTCTCCTCCACCTGGAGCCGGCTCCTGGCTCTCAGGCGCCGGGCCCTCCTCTTAGCAACACGGCACAGTTTAGATTTCCAGCTAGCTAAACCCTCACTGTCACTGAGGACTTCGAGACTGTCCTGTAGCTCTTTCTTCACATTTAAAGCCAATAAATACGAGTCCGTCCAAACACTCTCTTCCTCCACACGGTTCCTCAGGGTTTCGCAAGACAGTTCCAGCCGGGAGACGAGCTGAGCGGCCGCACACAGAGCCTCCTTCAGCCCTGGAGCTGGGGCACAGCTGCGGGGTGAAGGGTGCCGCTGGGTCCTGGACGTTCTCTCTTTTCCTTTTAAGAACCGTCCGAGCCACTGCTGGTCCTGCCTTCTCTGGAGGGCTGCTTCATCCTCAGGCTGTGTTGTTTCTCCCGAAGTCCTGTCATGGTCCTTACCCTGCGTAGGAAACCGAGCTGCCCTCTCAGAGAAACCCTCAAACCGCTGCTGTTTCTGACCTGAGTCGTGCCGGGCAGTCTGAGGAAAGGCTCCATACTGCTGGGTACCGGTGAATGGTTGAAAGCTTGAGGCTTCCCTGCTGCTGTATGTGTTCACCGGGGCGTTGGGGTAGTGTACGGGGGGTGGACAACCGAAAGGAGGCGGGGGAATGGAGGGATTGAACCCATAAGGAAGAGGCATGCTAGGCCCCCCAAAACCCACTCCTCCTTCGGGAGACGGCGGGGGGAATTCGCACCTATAGCCGTACGGGTTACCGTCATACCCAGGTCCCGGTGGCCACAGTGGAGCAGTGCGGTCCGGCTGTGTCTGTTGATGAGTCGCGCTGCACGGCGGAGGTATGTTAAAGCTGGCGGTGTACGGTGTTTCCAGATAGCCGGCATTATAGGCAGGAGGCTGCGGTGTTTCTGATGAAGCGTGGTGATATATGTTGTCCATGCCGTGAACAATAGTACATTAAATGTATGTTATCTACAGAAATAAACAGTTACACATTCATCTCAACTCTTCACAGGAGCCATGTTTACGTGACGTCGTCGGTTATTATTCCTTTTTCCGGCAGCTTTAAATCTTTTTTATGTTACAGCGCTACTCTGGCTAAAGTGAGTACTGCCAAGTGCCAACAACGACTCACAATGACTGAAGAATAAATGTAATTGTGATGTTCTACTACTACCCCTATATAAAACATACTACAGTACATAATTACAGTTAACCATTGCTTGAATACATTCAATTGACTTTATTTCCAAAGGATAATTTAGTATTATTCATGCTTTCCAAGAAGTCCAGTGGGGCCTATTTAAATCACATAAACCTAGATAGACAACATACACAAACCTATTTACGTTTCTACCTTAAACATGACCCTCCAACTTTTGTACTTGCTGTTTAATTTGTGATCGTTGATCACACAACGGTTGATTTTTTTCCTCCGAAAAGTGCTTATTATGACGATTTGTGATTCTCATTGGAATCAGTTGTAATAGTTTGGGGCTGAGAATCAATCCTGAGGTGGCCACTTTGTTTCCTTTCCCAGTAACCTAAAGCTTAGATTCTATACCAGCTGTATACTGGCAAGGAGGCAGACAGACATAATAAACATGTTTACAATGTTTATCGATAGATGTGCTGTAAAGCTAAGATTCTATAACAGCTGCATACTGGCAACAACTGGGTTTTGAAGGTTTTAACGTAAAAGCAATGGAAGAGGAAGGGGAGTGCGCCATCTAGTGGCTAAACGTTATGAGTTGCACCTTTTATAAATAATTACATTTTAATCAGCTTTCCTTTGTAAAATAGTTTGTTAGGGTGCAAAGGGAAATGTTATACCTTTAAATCAAACAACATAGGCCTATAGCCTCACATGGGCTTTGGGCACCGTGAACAAGACGTGCGGAGTGGGGTGTGCTACAAAACGCTAGATCCTGTCAACATTGTGGCCAGATGGGCTAACGCCTCTGTGTTCTGAATGTTCTAAAACGTCTCTGGATAACGTTAGCCTGGGAAAGCGGAGTCATATGAGCAGGCAGGCACGCCAGGCAGAGTGGCAGACTGACAGGCTGACAGGCTGACTTGTGTTGTCGGTAGGCGGTGGCAGAGGCTTTTGCGGAAGTGTATGAAAGCGGAGTCATATGACTAGCCATAATTATAATTATAATAATATAATGATATTTATGAATAAATACATGTGTGAGTACATATAAGTGTGTGTGTATATGAATAAATGTATATATAAAATAGTATCATTAAATATATATATATATAAAATAGTATCATTAAATAATGCTGTCAAATAAATGAAGTGCACAGTAATAGTCAAGGTTATATTCAATATTCTGCTGATAAGATAAGATATTTAAAACGTCTTTTGTTTGTCCTGAAAACGACATTTGAGAATACACACAGGCTATTTATAGATAATAAAACACCAGTAATACAATCTCAGGAATCTTCGATATGGCTTTGATTACAGGATCGTTTACTTTCAGTCAACAAACAAACAGGATCGTTTACTTTCAGTCAACAAATCCTTTGGAAAGACAAAAAACAACTATTCATCCTGCTTTACCGCGACCGCTATAACAGCCGAAGAATAACAGCCGAAGAAGAAGGCTATGACGCTATCGCGTAGAGCTACGTTCTTGCGTAATGCGGAAGCAAAATCTAAACTGGGTTGGAATAACAATAGACGCGGCCCGGCTAAAGTAACTGGATGGCCTACCTGCCTGTCAGACTTCCATCTGTGCACAAACTTAAAGTCCCCTGGTTTGTCCCCTATACTCTAACGCCAGGCAGGCATTTGGTATGATCACCATAGCCATATGAGGCCGGACTCGGAGGGCTTTCCTTTGCTTCCAGCTGTCAGATTGTAAACAAAGTCACGTGACTGGGGGCAGATGACAGCGCTGACAAGTTGTGTTTTATCGCAGCGAGACGCTACAATACTAATTGTGGGCTTATCATGTTGATTCGGCCACAATAGAAAACAAAAAAAACTCATGCTCTCTCCAAAGGGGCAGGTGAAATACATATAGCGCTGCCAACCCTCACGCATTGAGTGTGAGAGTCACGCAATTAACCCATATCTCACGCACTCACGCCACACTTGCCTTTCCTCACGCTAAGTTTTCGTCCAAAATAAATGTATATAAAAATAAAGTGAAGGAACAGCAAACCGAGCGGTCTACGAAATGAGACGGTCTTCTGGCTTAGTTCCGTAAAGTTGGAACGATATTGGGAGATTCTGATTTCACGGATCAATAACAACGATCTACAATCACATTTTGATCAAAAAAAGCCAATACGCGCCGTCCTCCGAGCTGGACACATTACATTGGTCTCTATCTGCAGCCGGAGAAGAAACGAGTGCTCAGGGACCGTCTGCAAAGTGCAACTCCGAAAAAAGAGAATACAATAATATTCAATCACTATTATACAGCTTATTACTACCAAACTCACCACACACAATAGTCTCATGGTGGTCATACTACAGCAGAGAGTTTGGAAGAATATGCTTTTGAATAATTTTGGGGAATATTTATAATGTAAATCTTCAATAAATATGGCATCGTCTTAAATAACTTTATACAGTATATTTCTACCAAACTCACTATTTGCATTGTTGTTGTTGTTGTTAGCATCTAGTTAGCTTAACGGATATTAGAAGCTGTTTCTAAAACAAGGAGAGGGAGAGCTGTGTCCTGTCAGACTGAGAGATAACTACAGCTCAGTGAGGTAAGGGACTCTGTTTAGATAGTTAACTTTAGTCTAGTTATCTCAGTGGGTCTCAAACGTGTTGGTCACCATTTATTAGAATAAATGAAAAACAGTGATGAAATACTATATGACAGTAAAACAAGGATAAAGTTTAAAAGGTGAGTGATTTGTAAAATATCCATAAAGAAAAAGAAAATCTGTTTCATATGGGTGTTGAGAGATGTATCCATAAATTCATTTTGCTCTCAAAATGCACCAGGTTGATGCATTTAACTTCAATATTTAAAACAAAATCTTCCCAGGGGAGCATGCTCCCGGACCCCCCTAGAGGAGGTGATATATATATACACACATATGTTTCCACCACTTGAAACTCAGATGTGGACTTAAAAAGAAAGACAGGAGTCTACTTCAACAGAGCTGAGATGCAGTGAGTGAATTGTTTTAAGTTCTCCCAGAGAACCCGTCATGGTCATTAAACTTGTCCATCCCGTTTAAAAAAAAGCTCAATATGGCAAAACAAGACAAATAAAGAGCCTCTTTTAAAACTTGATTTTTTAATACCACAGCTTGTAATCCTTTGGACTTCGCACAACCATAACATACATCAAAGTTTAAAAAAAAGACTGAGGCACTGTGTGGAAATCTCATATGTGCACAAAAGAAAACAAGGAACCTGTGTGAACTCAAACTGTGCACTCCCTTCACCAAGCCACCACCTCAAGGTAACAACATGTATCAGATCTGAAGTGAAACCAACACAACTGCATTCAAAGTGACAAGTGAACTTCCATTAAAAATGTAAAAAATATTAGGCGTCATTAGTCCGAGGAATAAATAAGATAAAAGCATTTGTGCAAACATGGGGATCAATTTACAAACAGGCCGAAGTCAGAGAGCTTTTAAAAACTCCGAAGGATTACAGGAGCATGATCTCCATCTCTGCAGAACACCTCCGTGGGCAGAGTGAGTCAGCAGTATTTCATTCATGACAAAATAAAAAATAAAAATCATCTTAAAAAACAAAGCTGTCCGTCAGTAGAAGAAAGTTCCGAAGTCGCCCATGCCGTTGCGCCGGAACTGGTTCCCCTGGATGGAGACGAAGATCTGGTGCTGCATCAGGTCCTGCACGGCCCGGCTGCACGACGGCTCCTTGCTCCTGCTCAGCTGCCGGCTGAAGTGCCACTTCCTGCCGGAGCTGGAGGCTGCGTCGGTGCTGCTGCTCTCCGAGTCGGGCCGAGCCTCAGTGGACTCGCTCTGTGCTGAAGAGCTGGAGGAGAGGAGAGCAGCAGACCCCCCCGGCTGAGAGTCTGCAGGGCCAGTGGGTTCTTCTGGGGAAGAAATGGTCGATATTGAAGCTGTGCTGCGGAGAGCTTCTTACAAACAACCTGCCTTCACATGTTCGTCTGTTAAAGTTCTACTGACCCCAAAACATATAGTGTATACACTTTCATTATCATTGATTTCACTTCATTTGTTCCGACTCCTGTAGGATTCTCCATATTAGATTCACAAAACTCACCCCAGGAGTTGGTATTGATGCCCAGAGAGAATATTCTGAGTCCAATAATGTCTTTAATTAGGTGATGATCCTACTGTAACCCGCAACCTGTTTACCCCCCCTCTCTGGATAGGACAGGGTGGAGGCAGCTACGTCCATGTTCCAAAAGTATCTCTATATGTTGAAATAAACCCTGTACTGTTGCCATACTGCATGCATGTTACAATATGGGTTAAATAGAAACAAGTGCATTAAATATATAGACACTGCAATCCCTCCGCCACCCTCAGTACAAGGAAAACAATTATCGTGTTGCCATTTGTGTTGTTATTCCCGTCTTGGAAAACATGGAACATGTGAGAGCTCCACAGACCTTCACTTCGGTCCGCAGGGACTCCCTGCTGTTCTCCGCTGTTGGCCTTCACTAGAATCACCCCGTAGCCCTCGTTGTTGTGGATCACATTGTTTTCCATGGTGATGGACGGCATCACATCGAGCTCATCAGCAAAGTCCTGCACACACCAAACACACATTGTCACATGTGTTCAAAAATCAGGAACAGCGTTTCCGCCAGGGGGGCGTCTTGCCGTCATTTTGAACTCGAGCCGAGGACGTCCAAAAAAATAGATAATTTGAGAGAAGATCGAGAGTTTTTATCGCTTGAAATGAGGAAAAGGAAAAAGGACAAGGACATCCCTCTGTTGGAGGGGCAAAGGAGTGGTGGGATTCTTTTCGCCGCCAGCAAAGCGTGTTCCTGTGACGGAAAGTGTACTGCCGGCGAGCCTTGACGGGGGGTGCTAGTGGAGTGCGAGCGCCGGAGCATCGCACCGGCGAAACTGAGGCTCCGTGGTAAACTGTGGCAACATGAAGAGCCGCTTGGGAGCCGAAAGAGCCGGCGCTTCTTATGCGGCTTTCACACCAGCGCTTTTCCCTTTCTAGCTTCGAGCGGGAGCTTTTCTGGTTCAGCTCCGGTTTCCCTTTTCTGCTCCCGCTCTGTTCACACCGCCCAGAGCTGCCGCTGCTGCGTCATGACGTCACCGTTTACGTGCCTGCTTCATAAAATCCAAACCGCGCGGAAATCCTTCACATCGACAACAACAACAATGGCCGATTGTATTGAAGCGCTGTTCGCTTTGGTTATCCTCTTACGAAACTAAATGGAAGGCATCGGACGACTTTACAAGGGACGCCTTTACTTGGAACTTTACAAACATCACATGCGAAATGCAAGACTTCTTTGTGGTCTTCAGCATCTACTTCAACGACGAATCCGTAGCCCCCTGCCCCCGCCTCGACGTAAGAGAGACGTAAGCTACGCCGCCTCTTAGCTCCGAAGCTCTTGCCTCTAGACCGACAATTTTTTGGAGCTGGAAGTGAACCGGATTCCGGAGCTAAGAGGCTCCGAGCCGGAGCTGAAAACGCGTTGGTGTGAAAGGGGCATTAGTGAGCCGAGCCAAATGATCCGGCTCACTAAAAAGAGCCGGAATTCCCATCACTAATACGTAAAAGATTTAGTATCTATAAGGGACGGCTTAATTCAAAATTCAAGTCACGTGACGTCGCTCTCGGGTGGACGCCCTCTCAGCCCTGGTCTGGCAGAAACACTGATCAGGAGGATAAAGGCTCTTAAAGAGGGGATGTCAGGACAGTGCTTGTCACCTTGATGAGGATCCCGTCTTTACAGTGATGGATGCCGTTACCCACCAGACTGCACACACTGCCGGGGTAAATCTCCACACCAGCCCCCTGCAGAGAACACACAAGAAGTCATATTAACATAAACACTTCCTGTAAACTGACAACACAGTATCTGCTGATCTGTACATGATCACTTCAAGTACTAATCAATCATTCCTAGTAGAGAATAGAGCTGCAACAAACGACTCAATTGATAATCGATTAATGAAACGATCAATCGACTATTATGCCTTGCACAATTTCTCAAGCCTCTTATTTAGCCATCAACTTTTAGATTTAGCTTGAGGTTGTTTTAGGCATGTGGAAACTAACAATGAAGACAATAAAGATGAATACTTGATTCAAAAATACATATATTATTAAATTAACGAAACAAATTGTGAACAGAATTAACGTTGCTTTTTATTTAAATACATAATATTTCACATCAAAAGAAACAACAGTGTTTTAACAAATCGTATTAAATAATGTGATGACAGAACTGTAAACAGAATAGCTGAAACTTTAACAAAATAAATAACTCCGTTACCTCTCATCATTAACCCATGTTTGTATCATTTTGTTAACTCCGTGTCAGGGACGTGCACAGGTACGGGCTAATGTTGCCCGGGCAACGGCCCGTTTGCCATTTTTGTCTGACCTGCCCCTCTGGAGAGAGTGAGAGGTTTTTTTTCTTTTCTGTTGTGGCCTAATAAACATGATAAGCCCACAATTAGTATTGTAGCGTCTCGCTGCGGGAAACAGCGCTGTCATCTGCCCCCAGTCACGTGACATATTGTTTACAATCTGACGGCTGGAAGCAAAGGAAAGCCCTCCGAGTCCGGCCTCATATGGCTATGGTGATCATACCAAATGTCCGCCTGGCTTTGGTGGCTAATCCCCGGGTCAATCTGTCCCCGTTTTTAAAATATGCTTTTAAGACCACCTCTAGTGTCGGATTTTGGAAAATTGATTTTGAGTTTTCTCACGGCAGTTAGACCAGGGGACTTTACTTCCTCTTGACACAGTCGGTTATGTACAAAAAAAACACCTAAATATACTTGTTATTGTGCTTCTGTCTTTCTGTGTCTTTTCATCTGTAAACTCCCTCACCGCTCGCTCTCTTTTCTTGATCGCCCTCTCTCACATACGGGTGAACAGTTCACTTACCGTTACTGCGCTCATAAAGAATGATAAGAATAAGAATAATGCGTATTGAACTGGTTTCAACAAATACAATTAAGTGAGAATTAAGTGAGTTTATTTAAGGTAATTAGTTAGAAGCCCTATTTTATCAGTATGTCTGCACAGCAGTTTCAATGGTCAAACTACATTAAAACAGAACTGTCCCCATTCTTTCTTTAATAGTTACTAACATTAGATATTTTTAATGAGATATGGACCGCAAAACAAAAGATATCCCTGGTTTTCATTTTAAAAATCAAGTCACTGAATGCAAGTCGTTGCCTTAGCTTATTTTGTTGTGAGATGATGATGTGAATTGCTGTTCAAATTAGTTAATGTAATAATCGTTTGGTTATTTTATGCATATCCTAATGTTAGATTTCTGTGCTTAAGAATGCCTTCAAGAGGAGACTGAAGCAGAGAGAGAGATCTGAAGGAGGCAAAAGGACTGCAACTTTGCAGAGCTGGATAAAAGGTGCCAGCATGGCAGCTGCAGGTGAAGCCCTGTGATTATGTCAAGCAACTACATACATTGGAGTACACTAATAAAACAAATCAGTGATAAATGCAGAGCCTGTATCTGTGCTGAGTGAAGTTCATGTTTTGTTGGGGGGCTAACCCCAAGCCTCCAGTTCAGAGCACATTTGAGAGGCTGAACTGAACACAGGCTGAATAACGAATTTAGCAGTTGGACATAAAAGGCAACTGAGTGTCACTTGCAATGAGTGTTGTGTTTTTATTTCATTAACCTTTTACATTAAAAACAAGTCAGAATTTTCAAAAGGTCTTGTGTTTTTTTTCGGGAGGGGAGGCCCTTTTTCAGTTTAGAGCAATAGCCCCTCCAAATGTCTGTGCCCGTCCCTGCTCCGTGTGTTGCTGACGTGGAAACGTTACTCGTGGATGGGGCCACAGAGCTGCTAGAAAGACAGTCGAACCCGGTGCATTTCTCCGTCTGAATGTGGAGCACTTTTGCTAAATGTTTAGACAAATTGCTCGTGTTACCGCCCTCACATGCTAAACTCTTTTGGTAACGAACATTGTCCACATCGAGACGGGTAACATTTAACCACACCTTGGAGCGATTCTCTCCGCCATCCCCGCCGTGTGTTGCTGTATGTAGCAGCTGCGTGTGTAAACTGCCCCGCCCCCTCGCACACAGACGGGGGAGAGAGAGATCTCGTCTGGATTGGAAAGATCGAAAATACATCATAGACGCATATTTTTGTCTTTTTGCATATTAGAAACGAGTTGGCGACACTAAGACTGCGATATAATGCTTATGTAGCAATAATACATATGACATATTTTTTAAATGTCTCCAGTACCGATAAAAAGACTGATAACGTTGGAGCTTAACGGCGTGTAAAACACACGTGATGACGTCACCAACGAATCGACGACTGAATTAGTTGGCAACTAATTTGGTCATCGATTTTAATCGATTAAGTCGATTAGTTGTTACACCCCTAGTAGAGAAAGACCATTGGTGCGTTTGAAAGTGTGTGTTACAAGCAAATTTATATTTATACATCATGTATTTTGTTATACTGTAAAATGAGGTGATCAGTGTTATCCTTTTTTTTTTTTTTTTTTTTAAATCATACATTTTTTATTGCAACATCTTCAATTTACAACACAGTACAGAAGACAATTCAGGTTGCACAACATTTTGGATTAATTCAATCCCATCCCTCTATCCTACATTCCACCCAGCTACCCACCCACTCCATAGCCCACCCCCCAACCACTCCATCGCCCACCCACCCTCCCCCTCCACCACCAACCACCGGGGCAAAAATATCCCCTCAGGGATAGCATTCTTATTTGGTCAGGAGCTCCTTTAAGTTAGATATCAGATCTGTCCACATTAAAATTGTATCAGGTTTTGCATCGTTGATTCTCGCAGAGGACAGTTCAAGGTAAGAAATGTTCAAAAAACTCTGAAGCCAGTGAGAACTTGAAATATCGTGAGGAGGTTTCCAACGTTGGACTATAATCTTTTTAGCTGCAGTCAAGCCTGTTAGCCAGATTTTGCGAGTTTTCCCCGTAAGGGAAAGGTGTGATTCATCATTTAGAAGATGTACAGCAGGTTCCATTGGTAATCTCAACCCTATTAAATCTGTAAGGGTACTAATAACCTTCCCCCAAAAGTGCAATACTCCTGGACACTCCCATACAACATGTAAGAAAGAGCCAATGGTTCCCTGGTGACAAAATGAACAATACGGGTCAGGTACCAATCAAATTCTGTGTCTAATTATTGGTGTTAGATATGCTCTATGACAACATTTCAGATGTATATACTGATGGTTTGGGTTTTTTGAAGCACCCGTAACATTAGCCCAAATTGCATCCCAATCCAATTCTTGTCCTAAAGTAGATATTTCCCTGTCCCATGCTCTCATGCCTGATGTAGGAATATAGTTCTGGGAGTTAAGATTATTATAGATAAACGAAACTATTTTTTTGGGAGCACTTTGCACCCAACTCAGAATAGGATGTTCTTTCAAATCTGACCCCCAGGGGACCCCATAGGCTTTACAGGCAGACCTTATTCTAAAGTAAAAGAAGAGAGAGTGTTGATCAATATTATATTGAGAGACCAGTTTTTGAAAGTCATGAATACAATTTTCCCCATTAATGTCCTGAAGAGTTTTAATACCTTTATCCTCCCAAGCTTTGTTGTTAAATGGTTTCCCCCCAGTCAATAGGTTATGATTGTTCCATAATGGAGATGACCTACACCACACACTCTTAAAGTTTAGGAATTTCCCTGCTGCTCCGAACACTTTAATCATATAAGTTAAAATTGGACCGTACAGTAAATCACATTTTTTGGTAGATATACCTGAAAGGAGAAAGTCCCTTAATCTTATCGGCGCTATTAAATCTTGTTCCATATTCTTCCAAGATGACATTTTATCTTCATCTACCCAATAGCTGAGAGATCTTAATATGAATGCCCAATGATATAGTTTAAAATTTGGGCATGCCAATCCCCCATCTGATTTTCTATACTGAAGAGCTGACCATTTTATACTGGGTCGTTTACCATTCCAGATGTAGCATCGAAGTAAAGAATCTAGTTTTTGCCAGTATCCTGTTGGAGGTGCTAGAGGGATCATTGAGCTTACGAAATGTATGCGGGGCAATATGTTCATTTTAACAACCGATAAACAGGCTGGGACTGATGCTGGAAGGTCTTGTAATCTTCATCCTCATCTTCATCTTCATCCATCTTGTAATATCTTCTTCTATTTTCTTCAAAACTAAAGAGTAATTTGTTTTAGCTATAGATGATAAGGAAGTACTAACCTTAATACCTAAATAGAGGACCTCATTTGAAACATTGATTTGGGGTGGGAGGGACACTTCACTTTGGCCTATGTTAAGAAGCATCAGTGTTGATTTTGATAGGTTAATCTTGTATCCCGAAAGCTGCCCAAACTGCTCCACTACTTCTAAGACACAGGGGAGGGTTCGCTGAACATCTGCCATACAGACTAATGTATCGTCTGCATATAGTGATATAGAATGTGACGTTCCACCTATTGTGATGGGGGAAATCTGAGGACAATTCCTAATGAATTGTGCCAGTGGTTCGATCGATAAATTGAAAATTAAAGGAGACAGAGGGTCTCCTTGCCTTGTACCCCGTTTTATGTCAAATAAGTCGGAGAAGCTTCCTCCCACGCATACTCGAGCTGTAGGATTCGCATACAATGTTTGAATCATGTTAATAAATGTATTTCCAAATTTAAATTCTTTCAGAACCCTCCATAGATATGGCCATTCCACGCGATCAAACGCCTTTTCAGCATCTAAAAACAAAAGGCCACAGGCAGGTGGAATTGTATGTGTTGCGCCAAGAATGTGCAGGAGTCTGCGGATATTATCAGATGCGAGCCGCCCTTTAATAAAGCCTGTTTGATCGGGGCTTATTAATTTCCCAACCACCGTCTCAAGTCTAATAGCTAAGACCTTGGAAAAAATTTTGAGGTCAGCATTTATCAGTGATATTGGGCGATAGTTAGAACATTCAAAGGGGTCCTTCCCAGGTTTTGGTATAACCGTAATCAGAGCCGTATTTAAGTCTTTGTGGAACATACCCTTATTGGTAGCATAATTAAGTGTTTCTAACCATACCGGTCCAATAATATCCCAAAATGTTAAATAGAGTTCCACAGGTATGCCATCTATACCCGGCGTACGGCCCTTATTTGTAGCTTTGACAGCTTTATATAGCTCCTCCAGCGTGATAGGTGACTCCAGTGTTTTGGTGTCATCTAATGATAATGTAGTGAGGCCTAATCCGCTAAAAAATGTGGCGAAGTCTTCGTCAGAAGGGACTGAGCTACTTGAATACAGTTCTTTAAAGTAATTTTTAAATGTTTCATTTATCTCCTCTGTAGAAGATACTGTTCCGCGTTTATTACATCTGATTGCTGGTATGGTCCTTTTAGCCTCTTGTTGTTTTAAAGTTAATGCCAAAAGGTGGCTTGGTCTGCTGCCTTCTGCATAATACTTGTGTTTGGTTATATGGATCATATATTCTGCCCTGTGTCTTAACAGGTCGTTAAGTTCTGCTTGCTTTGTTTTGAGCTCACTTTCTATTGTTGTTGTGTATCTCTCTTTTAGGACTTTTTCCAACATATTACATTTTTCTTCTAGGTGAGAAATATTTTGCAGTCGGCTTTTATGTAGGTGGGAACTGAACCGTATAGCATTATTTCGTATAAAACCCTTGATGGTGGCCCAGACCACCGTCACATCTGTGACGCTATTCTTATTCAAGATTATAAATTCGGTCAGTTTTGATCTCAATTGCGATATAAATGTGTTGTTCTTTAAAAGGGTTGTGTTGAACCTCCATCTAGTAGCCCCATTTTTTATATTTCCTTAGTTAAAATTAGCTAAAATTGGGTTGTGATCCGAGAGATGTCTGGGTAGGAACTCAATTGACTGTATTGAAGGCATCAGCCCAGAAGATATAAGAATGTAGTCTATTCGAGAGAAGGTTTTATGTCTCGTGGAAAAAAATGTATAGTCTCTCGCAGATGGATTATGCACCCTCCACACATCAATTAAGTTTAAGTCTGTTATAAAGAGTGCTTTGGAAGCAGATTCTTGAGAACTTGATAGAGTTGCAGCAGATTTGTCAAGGTTATTGTTTACAAAAGCATTCATGTCCGACCCAACATATAATTGGTAGTCATTTAACTTCAGTAACTGTGAAGTAACTGAGGGAAAAAAATCAGCTTCAAATACTGTCGGGGCATATATGCTAACAAAAGCCACTTTTTTACCTTGAATAGATGTGCAGCAATAGGCTAGACGTCCTTTATTGTCAGAGCCAATCCTTTCAATTGATACATTTATGTTACGCCTCATAAGTATCATAGCTCCTTTAGTGCGAGTGCCATCAGTTGATGCCACAATAGGTTTATAGAATCTGTTTTGAACCCTTGAAGTGTCATTAGGTTTAAGGTGTGTCTCCTGAAACATTGCAACATCTATCTTCTTTCTGCGCAAGAAATCTAAGATTTTTGAACGTTTATACGGAGAGTTAAGTCCTCTTACATTAAATGATACAATATTCAAATGTTCCAATTTATCTGTATGTGTATTTATTCCCTGGACCTGTTGTGAGTTGGTGGTGGATCCCTGAGTTACAACCCTCCCCTTTCCCCCCCCATTCGACCCTCTTCTTGGTAACATCTGTGAGCGTCACTTAGCTAACACTGAACACTGATTGTTCCCCCCCCCCCCCCCCCCTTGCATAAAGATAAAGCATAGCAGATCTCACAAACAGTAAAACTGAGGAATAGAAAACCCCTTTTAAACCGATCAACCTGTATCATTACAACCATCCCCCTCTCGTTCTCATGAAATGGTATAGCCCATATACAGACCGTTGCCTGCCGATGACGTCATACATATCACGCGCCCATGAATGTAAACAGTGGATGCATGAAAAAGTTTTCAAAACACGCCTCCAGCTTCCCAAGCCTATTCCGTTATAATGTACATTATGTATGCCGCATATAACTCGAATTTAAAGTATATAGTATGGGCGGAATATTACCTTAACACCATATAAACATGGCAATTAAACAATAACATTAGAACTCTTATCTGCAATAATTTGAAAATAAACTGGCCCCTATTTCAACATATTCAAGTATCGAGGCTTAACGAACATTGGCCAATATAAAATAAGCATAGAACATCACCTACATATCGTCTACCTGCCCATAGGTGCCAGACTTTTCTCTGTCCTTATTGCAGATCCATCTCCTCCGTTGGCACAGGTAGCGTATTCAATGTCCAGGATCTTCTCGCATGTCCACCGTTGATTTAAGGGCTTCTCTCGCCTCTTCTGCCGAGTTAAATGACATCCTCGTGCCCTTGTTGTTCACTTTCAGAATTGCCGGGTATATGATGAACGAGTCGATCCCCTTCTGTCGAAGTTTAGTGCGGATCTCCTTGTATTCCTGTCGCTCCTGTGTCGTACCGGGGCTGTAATCGGCGAAGAACAACAGCTGTGTCCCGTCTTGGAGAGTCGGTCTAGCTTTCCTCTCGCCTTCAAGAATGGCCTGTCTGTCGGTATAGCGTAGTAGTTTGAGAACCATGGTCCGCGATCTTGAGGTGTTGTTGGAGAAAATACGATGTGCCCTATCGATTTCCAGTGGATTATTGTTGGGGCTCTTGATTGAAGGTATCCAGATAGGCAGCATCTTTTGAAGGTAACCCCTGGGATCATCGCCCTCAACACCTGTTGGTAAGTTGACAATCCTTACATTGTTCATTCTGGACCTGTCCTCCAATTCATTGAGCTTCCTTCGCATCTTTGTCACCTCCATGATACACGTGCTAGTTTCCTTCTCATTCTTGCGCACGGCAACCTGAATGCTCTCAATCTTATTGAAAACGTTGTCAAACTTTTTTGCGTGACCATCAGCTTGTTCTTTTAATGACCGGAGGATGTTGCCGTTTTCGACCAAGTGCTTTTCTATAGGATTGAGAGCCTTCTCAATCGCACCCTTTAGCTGTCTGCTATTGTTCCCTGCAGAGTTTCCATCTCATCCGCGATAGCTTGCTTGATTAGCATAGCTATATCGGTGGGTGAATCGCTAGCTTGTTGTCTGTTAGATTCTTGTTTTTTAGTCGGAGTCTTTTCCTTCTTTGCTGGAGACATTTCTTTTCTCAAATGTGTGTTATTACTGTCTATGAGTTGCAATAAATAGGAAAAAAGGGGGGATTTTGTTCAGCGCTCTGTATCTTGCTGCCATCAGCCTCGTGCCTCACCGGAAGTCCAGTGTTATCCTTTGATAAACTGATATACCAACTTAACCTCTGATGAGCCCACACCTCATTGTTCAAGCATGGAGACGTTATAATTAATAGTAATTTATTACATGGCTTAGTTGAATAGTCGATTCTGATTGGTCAATTCAGAACACGTGACACGTTGTTAATCCAGAACAGACAGACCGCTGTCAAGGACTTATTGACCGTTGTTAAGGACGCTCACATCTGCACTAACAAGTCCGTTCGATTGAACTGTATACAGTTTGGCTGAAACTGACAAGACAAGAGCGACAAGAAAACAGCGGAGAAGTAATGGGGCAGAAACCCTCCTTTTTACGCAGCGGTCCAGACATAGACATCAAACGGCGACACATATTCAGTGTGCAGTTACTTTGAAATTAGGGCAGGGATATCTAGATACTTCCCAATGTCTGACATCATGAAGTGTGCTACTTTTAAAGCAAGCAACGATGTTTTCAAATCTGTAATCAAAAAGCTCCTCAATAACGCTATGGAAGCAGTTCCTGCCGTTGCTACGTTAGTTCAAACGGTAACAACGGACTATTTTTCTTAGCGGATGCATGTCAACTTAAATCAATAATAGTCTACTATATATAGAAAAAAATTCTAAATCTATAAAAGCATTTCAGTTAATATTGGGAGTCATGTCGTTACTTTGTTGAGAATGTGGCCATGTAATAAGCGGGATAATGTGCAGCGACTTGGTCATTATGGGGAAAAGAACACCCGACAGGCCGTTTAGGAGCCCGACGCGAAGCGGAGGGATCTTGCACTGCACATTATCCCTTACATATGATTTATTTGGAGACCAAGTCATTCTATGTTACATCAGACAACATGTCTTATAGTTCTTTTTTGTAGTGCTTTAAAAAGTGGTATGTTAGTCACATGCTCACTCACTAGGAGGACGCCATTCTTGCAAGCATGGAATATCTTAGGAGGATTCATAAACAAACAATGTGTGCATTTATTGCATTCGTGGTACTGACCTTGGAGCCGTAGAGGTCACACATGTTCATGGTGAGGCGGGCAGAGTTCCGCACGATCACTCCGGTGGTCTCACACTGCAGCACACAGTTCTCCATGTGAACTGTGCCCTGACGCACACCTGACACACAATAGGAGAGTCAGCAGCAGGCAGCCTCACAGCAACATGAGTGCAAGGAGACATGGGAATAATGATGGTTATGATGAGAATAGTTATTGTGGGGTGACTCAGAAGGGACAGACAGCTCTAATCTGAAAAACCTTGTTGCTGACTGTAGCCAAATTAGAGGGGGGAGGGGATACAGAGATTTACAGGGAGGCCTGTCATGTACTCACACAGAATTCCCTCAATGGCGTCGTGTTGGATGAACTTGATGTTGGACAGGCTCACGTTAGCGCCTGTGGACTCCACAAAGGAGTCGCCCTTGTTTTTCTTCTCAATCACCACCTCATCAGGGAGCCCGAAGCCTGGCACACCACACAACAACCGGCAGTCAGCACAAAGAGGGGGGGGGGGGGGGGGGGGGTTTGTGTTGTTGTTAGATTCAGAGGAATCTCTGAATGGAATAATGAGCTTAAATATGAAATGCATCCATGTATAAAGGGGCTGTGTATGAGTCTGCACATGTTAATGAAGACAATCTGTGTCTTTTAGATGATCATTTCTTTAGTGTAAGATGAGGTGCTCACTTTTACCTTCTATAGTGATGGAGTCTGGCAGGAAGATGGAGCGGCTGACAGTGTACACCCCTGGCAGAACAATGACCACGTCCCCCTCATGGCACACCTCCACCGCTGACAGGGGGTCTCTATGGAACTAAACACACAGACAGCTTAGTAGAGTCACTTGAACACACACACTGTGTTTATAGGTACAGCACAGATAGAGCTGAGTCAATGTACACACTGACTGTGGCATCAGACCCAGGACTACCTCTAGATTTGACCCAAGTGAAGTTCTAACCCTGTGTAATGCCGTCCCTTTTGGTTAAGAATAAGAAAAGGACACTGCAAGTGCATCTGAAAACCGTTCCAAAGACTGAGCTGGTTCTTCAGCGCTCACTTTTATTATATAGTTAACAAGTCTTTTAAAGTTGGGTAAGATCGGGTTAGGTTTAGAGTTAAGAGCAGTCATCTAAATGCATTGTGAATCTGTGCCAGTACAAAGACTGATGAGAGTGTGTGTGTGTGTGTGTGTGTGTGTGTGTGTGTGTGTGTGTGTGTGTGTGTGTGTGTGTGTGTGTGTGTGTGTGTGTGTGTACTGACCTGGATCTCTGTGTCCTCAGAGCAGCACAGAGGCAGCAGTCTGTCAGAGAGGAGGCTCTGCAGCTGCATGCTGCTGCAGGAGGCTGTGACCACATGCACCCCCTTCACTCCTGAGGCCCGCGGCCCCCGGCTCTGCACACACTGCTGGGGGACGTTCCCTTTGTAGCCCAGCACGTACCTGGAGAGGAGGGGTGGAGCTTTAGTTGAAGGCTAGATCAAAAGGTGAATACTGTTATATCAGTCTTATGCCTGGTCACATGATAAGCTATACAAATGTGTTATTGAGTTAAGTTTCCACAATTAGTTTGCTAATTATCAGTACATGTATATCAATTCAAGTGAGCTGATGCCGAGGTTGGAGGAAGTGCGAAGAGGCTCTAAAGATGATAATATAGTTAAGTCTTTGTTAATGAATCACTCCTAAAGACGCCATGAGATGATGACCTTCTGATACACTAGTGTGGCATTCAGAGGGAAACACATGCCATGTCGTGTGTTAGTTCATGTAAAGCAGGGGTTCTCAAAGTGCGGCCCGCGGGCCAATGGCGGCCCTCGGAAATGTTTCTGGCGGCCCGCGATAGTTAATGTGACACGCTGAAATGCATGTGTTATATTTGAATCCTCCATGGTTGTATCTAGTAAGAATTAGAATGAGTAGCTTTCCAGCGGTATCTCCTGTGAGACTGTAACCAGGGCACAGCAGCCAATATGGCCGCTCAAAGCAGCTTGACTTTACACTGTGTGGGATTGGTGGATTTGTGTGTCCGTCAAGGAAATCTCAGCCGGCAGCCATCATGGTCTGAAATGACCAATGGACATCGAGAAATCACTAAGGAACTACCCACCAAGTAAAAATAACATAAACCACGTGTCTCCAATCAGTTTACGCCTGTGAGGAGAGAGAGAGAGAGAAAATGGCTAAAAAAAACTTTACAGTTGCCGACTTCGCTAGAGATTTTTTTCGCTAGCAGCAGTGAAGATAGAGCCTCAGAACGTGAAGTCTTCGACTCTTCTGAAGAAGAAGAATACAAAGACAACAACAAGGATCCATTTGGACATGGGTAAGTGTAAATATTACAGTAATAGTGTACTGGCAATGTGTGGGGAATACCGCGAAAATGAACAATAGGTTTATTGATATATATCTGTTATCGATAGTCATGAACTTTTTATTGGAACAAAATAGACTCTCCATTAGCAAATGTTTACTCTGTGTGAACGTTATTTTGGTGTGTAAAAGTGAGATTACATGTGTAGAGGATTAAATTAATCATTTATTCGTCCCACAACGGAGACATTTACAGTGACATGTTTTTGCCATCGATTATTTTATCATACTGTTCTGTCCGGATGAGACTTTGTCATAGATTTATTTATATGTGTGCCTGTTAATATTTTACCGTCCTGTACAGATGAGACTTTGTAATCAGATGTAGCCTATGTATATGTGTGTCTGTGATTTTATACTGAATGTATAGTAACTGGAAATACCTGTGTGTGTGTGTGTGTGTGTGTGTGTGTGTGTGTGTGTGTGTGTGTATCACTACAGCTGCCTCCACCTCCATCTGCGGCTGCCACCAGGTCAAGATACACCTCAGCACAAAGGCTCCACCACAGCCATCACCTTCAACCCAGCCAGCAAGGAGGTCTCGTGGAGGTCTCGTATAGCACTTGTACACCCCACCTACACAGCAGCCCATGCACCATCACCCCCATCTTCACAGCAGCCAGACCCACTGTCTTGGAAGACAGACAAAGACCTTGACACTGTCTTGACATTTATAATGAATAGTTGGTTGAAAGTTCTGATGTTCAATATTGTAAATAGTGAGATTTTCCAGTTTCTTATATTTATATAAATAGTTGGTTGAAAAAAACATATTTATAATAAATTGTTGGTTGAAAAAAAAGGTTGAATGCTCAATTTGTATTTGTACACATCACATGAACCTTGGTATGTAATAAGAAGTCATTATTCAGTCCTGGTGTATCTCAGTCCCTGCTGTGGTGAAAGTAGAGTGATAAACACCTATTTTACTCAAAATTTGAATTTAATGCTTTTCATTTTAGACATGAATAACACATTTATATACAGTGTAATTCAAATATTTCACTGCTTTTGTGATCCTAGGACTTTGGTAACCAAATCTAAAACACCAAAACAATTCGATCACATGAGTAGATTTGTGTTTTCACAAGAGTTTTGAAGATTTTCCAAAAATCAGATTTCATATTTTAAGCTTTTGAGCTACTTATCTCATCAAACAGTGCTCTAAGGTGAGCAATATGCATATATAGCAAGACCAGAGATTGTCCTGAACATTTTGATATGTAACACATGGGGTGCCATGTTAGAAGAAATACATTTAAAAGGTTATTTAAGAAAACATTTAAAAATCGAGAAAATACCCTTAGACTCCAGAGGGTTAAGAATGGTAAAACTGCGCCCCCTGGGTTGTCATTCCTAAATTATGAATGACAGCTTGTGGAAAGTTTGCTAGACTACTGGTTGCATGGCAACTAGGCATCTCGCGAGTTGCGGTAATTGGTTAGTACAATAAAGAAAGGATTTGTTTTGGAATTATTTTACCTAAATTGGCCCTCACTCATCAAAACTTTGAGAACCCCTGATGTAAAGGAAATGTCTCTGTACAATTCTACTGGGTTGGAGCATTACTGTAGGACTGCTTGAGAGCAAAGGTAATGTTTCCTGGTTATTATTGATTGTTGTACAACGAAATAATAATTGATAAACTATATCTGTGCTTTATTGATTGCTCTCCGTGTCATTCTTTCCTGTTGTGAGTGCTAAATGGTCACAACAATACGTCAACACTTTTTATGAGGGAGCCTGAGCAAAGCCAACTTCTGGGTCAGCCGGAACTCCATCACTGCACCGCTTTAAAAGACCCCCATGTTAACACGCCCAACTGTACAACATAAATAAACATGTGTACAGCCTGGTACAATAAAAACAATTATGTTTTGGTTGAGTTACAAAAACTGTGTGTGATTTTTACACAGTTGGAGACGCCACGTCTCACCTCAGCAGGGGGTTCTCGAAGATGTGCAGCTTGCGCCTGAGCGTCTCGAGCTGGTCGTAGAGCTGCAGGCCCTCCACCATGGACACGTTGTCCAGCTCTGAGTCCGAGTCGGTGCTGAGGCCGCTGCGCAGCACGGTGAACTGCTGGAAGCACTGGGAGCAGCTCTGCAGTAAGGACTGGTACTCTGCCACCAGGCCGGCTGGCACTCTGTCCTCCAAGATGTCGTAATATCTGAAAGTATACACATTTTCAAAAGAACAATTTGTGGGAATAAAATAGGACATCATCACCTAGACACAAAGTTTACTCACAGCCTGAGACGAGGCTCCACACAACGAACAAAGTAGTCAAAGTCATCTTCGTCTTCCTCATCCCACTGCCTCCAGATGTGGTCGTAGAAAAACCTGCAGGAAGAAGAGGAAGAGGATTGCACAACTACTCAGTAAAGTGTCAAACCATTTAGAACTGGACAAAGAATAACATGTGAACTGGGACCGAGGATGAAGTCAGAAGTCCCACCTGAGGTGCTCCACAGCGAGGGCGGTCTGATCAAAGTCCCCAGAGAGCACGTAGACCACCTGCAGCTGCTGCAGGGGGACTTTGTCTCCGGAGGCACCCAGCAGGACCTTCATGGCCTCCTCGGTGAGGTCACAGCCCCGGGTGTCGCACTGCAGAGGCAGCACCAGCCGCACACAGGCCTTCAGATCCTTGAAGTCCACGTCACACACCTGAAACCACGACCAGCCGTTCTCTGTAAACATGTTTGGATCCACTTTCTCTGTGGGTACAGGCAGCTGCTCAACTGTGTGTCAAATCAATGAGATGTTGGAAACGATTTAGAACCACCTCATGATACTCTCTGCCTTCACAGGTTTAAGTGGTGCAGTTTCACGTTACGGTCCTAATGGTTTTCTTACATTTAGAAAAACTAAACTAAGTTTAAACTAAAAGGAAACGAGTCATTAGGAACAGCCTTATATATAACTTACACAAGCTCATCCAAATCTCTGCTCTCACTCAAAAAGGGACATTAAGGTCACATGGGGTGAAAAATAGAGGTCAATTATTTCATGATATTAACAGATACATTTCTGAAAGAGGGACTCACCTCCACCAGGACGTCAAAGACATCAGTAGACCACAGAGCCAACCAATCACACGGCTCCACTACCTTCTCCAGATAGTCTGCTGTGAACGCCTTCACCTCCGATGGCTTACAGTCTCCTACACACAGACAGGTATAAATCAATGAGCACTGAGATTAGGAACAGCTACTCTTGTATTGTGTTTGAGTGGGATGTGTCAGAGGGTGTGGTTACCCAGCATGTAGTCCTGGTAGGCCCTGAACCTCTCGTAGAACAGCAGGTGGCTGGTCTGGAAGGTGTCGGGCACATTAGAGTTCTCTCCTGCAGGACGCTCACTCCTCTGCAGCCGAGTGCCCGACTTCTCAGAGTTAAAATGGTCAGTGCCGCTGTCATCGCCACTCTCATCTTCATCCTCCTCTTCATTCAAAAACAGAGCTGTGGGGCGATATCTTAGTTCAATTTTGTAATATTTACATCCCCTGAATAAACCAGCTATGCATGCTAGTCAAGTCATTTACTAATTCTTTAAGGTAACACTTAAAGGTGGGGTAGGTATGTTTGAGAAACCGGCTCGAGATACACTTGTTATATTCCATGGAATGCTCTTAACGTCCCGATAGCAATGAAGGAAGCCGTAGTACAGTAGAAAGCACGACCAATCATCTGAGCCGGCTAAAGTAACTGGATGGCCTACCTGCCTGTCAGCCTTCCATCTGGGCACAAACTGATCTCGTGCCCTCATTGGTCATGTGTGCGTTAGTGTGTGTTGGAGGAGGGGCTCTGGAAGGAAGTGGCAGATTTGTTCCGGTGGTGTATTTTCTAATTCTAGCGCACTCGAGCTGCTTTCTCCAAAATGACCGACCCCACCTTTAATTCATTTTAAGAAAGAAAAAAAGGCAAAAATAATACCCTTACTGTGACAAAAGGAAATCTACACAACTACACAACAGTATTAATCATTATTCAAATAAATAAAATATGAATTGCACACTAGCCAACATAAGCTAATGTGAAAGCTGAATTCCGCTTGTTGGATGAACTGCCTTCTCAGGGAAGAATAGAAAAGCCCTTTTGAAGTAGACCAGTCTAAAATATAACAAACATAACCGTGCACTGTAGAGAGTACTAAAGATAAGATATGTGAGACATTAAAGATCCTGTGGCCCCGATGCTAACATCTCCCCTGTTTACAGTATCAAAGTGTGTGGTTTGTGCCTCTGAAAGGGAAATGCGCGTTCTATTTGTTCTCGCTCACCTCCTGGGGCAGGAGAGGCGTTTCTTGTAAGAGCAAATCAAATCAGTTGCTAAATCATAGCAACTATCCACAGATTCATGTGTCTGATGTTTTGGTCAGAACTGGGTCGACCCAGTCGGCATTGCTTTCAGTGAATCAGTTCTGCACGACCAACACGTCCCATGTGTGTGTGTGTGTGTGTGTGTGTGTGTGTGTGTGTGTGTGTGTGTGTGTGTGTGTGTGTGTGTGTGTGTGGCCTTTAGGAGCTTATTATAAAGGAGCACTTGGAACAGAAGTTGCATAGTTCAAATGCACGAGCAGCATTAGAATGTTGTTCTGCTAACAGGGGCAACCAGTTCCAGCTGTAGTAGCTTGCCTTATCCCAGATGATATACATTACTACAGCCTTAAATATCGGAGGCCTCAGCCATAGATATAATCAGAATTGAATAATTGGTTCGAGTACATGTGTGTGTGTGTGTATATATATATATATATATATATATATATATATATATATATATATATATATATGATGATATATCAGTCATTTATTATTATATTATATATTATTATTATTTATATATTATTATTATTATTTTCATTAAGCGTCTTTGAGCACCTGTAAAAGCGCTAACAAATTAAATCTATTATTATTAAGGTCGTTTTTCCAGCACAAAGTGCAAACATGTGCTTGTTATTGCTTCCCCATTATATATCAGAATCACAATACACATGATGAGTTTGTGTTTTCTGTTTGATATCATTTTCCAAGGAATAACTTATAATATAATAATAATAATAAATATCAATCATACAAAACCCATTGAGAACAATACCAGAGACTCTGAGCTATTACTGTACATGATATAAACCAAAACCACCGACTAGTCAATCGACAGTTGGTAGATTACTATAATGAAATGATTAGTTTTAGCCCTCACCGAAACCTCCTAAAATAGGGGCGGACAATGTTCGTTTCATCAGCCTCACTTTCCCAAGATGCACCAGCTGTTTTCACGTTGGTGTTTTGATGTTGTGGGATGGATAATTGGTTACCATACGCAGTGTCTCATGGAATGTTAACTACATTATGCCAAAGGTTAACAAAAACACCAGACTGATCAGCGGCTGGTTGTATTGCACATTGACCAGTAAAGTAACCGTCATAGTAGATGTTAGTGTAACATCAGGACATCCCATCTGAAGTGCAGCCACCGTCCACCTGGAGGTTTCAGAACAACCAGGAGAACTAGCCAGGCCAACAGAGTTAGCTAAAACACGGACATTAGCCACCGTTGGTGTTTTAAACGATGATTGGAACACACCATGACACTGACTGACCTTCATTCAAACCAGACAAATTATTTCCCACTTCAGAAATCCCGTTGTTGTTTTCCATGTCGAGTTCAACGTGAACAAATGACTCCAAATCCACCACCATGATGTCCGTCATGTCGCTTCCAGTGTTGCTTGTTCCAGCTGAGTGAGTTGCCAGTGCTTCTTGCTCCATTAAGAATTACAATGAACTACCTGATACTTTGCCAGGTAAATACTTGTTTTTTAATGGGCTTCGAAGTTTGACAAACGTTAGCACAAACGTTACCGCACTGTTCTATTAACACATCCATAAACTGCACACACCCAGTTACTTTTAAAATGTTCCCGGTCTGAAGAGCATCAGCCAATCCAGAATCGTACAACTGCAGGATGTCCCACCCCTAAGAGAATTTGACGACAAAGGCCTGACAGGGGCGTATTTGGTATGACCCGCCCAGCGCCATATAGACGCTGGACCCGCCTAACCAATCCAATAAACCAAGGCAACGACTACTGGCCAATGAGAGTGAGAGTGAAGGCGGGTCATCAGAGTGAGGCGGGTCATCATGCCTTGGCCATTTTATGTATTTGTTTGTTTTCCTTGGAGATTGTCACTGTCACTACCCGATCTGCAGTGCGCATGTGCGAGATGGTCCGCCATATTGGACAACTCCGGACGGCAACCCAAGTAGGACAACATTGACACAGTGGCTTTGGGCAAAGCTCAAAAGGAAAACTCGAGAGAGATGAGTTATTGTTATTACGACGTGACTTCACTATTATTTAACAACTCTTTTTATTGGGTTCTGTTATTTGGGGTTAAGTACATTGTCAGAATAAGTGAGGAATTAATGTAACTTCTGTTGCCATACATTTTTGCACACATTCACAGTAAATATGTATTCAGTATGATAGCTGTCTAACAGAAGTTAAATCCATTTCTCACTTATTCTGACAATGTACTTAACCCCAAATAAAAGAACCCAATAAAAAGAGTTGTTAAATAATAGTGAAGTCACGTCGTAATAACAATAACTCATCTCTCTCGTTTTATTTTTGAGCTTTGCCAAAAGCCACTGTGTCAAGTGTCCATCTTGGGTTGCCGTCCGGAGTTGTCCAATATGGCGGACCATCTCGCACATGCGCACTGCAGATCGGGCAGAGCTGCAGATCGGGTAGTGACACCGATGATTCTTTTGCAAGTACCTTGCCGACAATACACTTTTTAAACACATTACATAGGAAAATAATTCACGTTTTATAAAATAGTAACACCAAAAAAAAGGATTTTTTATAGTATTAAAATAGTATTACATAAATAATAATAAAAAAAATAAAAAAAATATTATAAACATTGAGAACACTCTTCAAGAGTAGGGGTAATCATAATAATGTCTTGGTTCTTTCACAAGCTCTAAGAAGAGACGTTTTATTCTGTTCATTAGTGTCAAAGCATGCAGTGAGATGATTGTCCACATGGTCTGTATTAAGAAAAGGGGGTTTTATGTAAAAAATTAAACAATTTTATCAGATTTTTTAATATTTAGTCAATCCTAATGTCCTTCTTAAAACCAAAACACAAATGTTCTCTTGTGAAAGGACCAGGTATTTGAATTTTGGTTGACGGACAGACTTGGAAAACAATCCAGAACACCACAGAATAATGTAGGCTAGTTTGTCAAAAAAGTTATCAGAAGTTTTCATCTCACAAATGCTGCCTTTATTGCTAACAACATTACATCTCAGTCCCAGCAGTTTGGTGCAAAATTATTCAGAATTTTGAAATTGTTTTTTCTCTTGGGGCGTAGGATAAATTACTTTGCTTGCTTTTTCTCCGTAATATCTGACTGTAGTTGTATGATGAAATTATATAAAAACTAAGCATGTGTGCAAAGTTGCAAACTATTATGCAGTCATGAGCATGCCAGTATACGTTTTTTTTATTCATTTGTATGTCTGTAAAGCAGTGAGATTTGCAATAACATAGCACATCTGTTGGCGGGGGTTGTGGAACTTTGCATTTTGACCACAGCATTATATTGTAAAACAATGACAGTTTGCAAGTCACATTTTCAACCTGTGAATCACATTGTAAAACAATCTCAACATGCATCTCTGCAGAGTAAGGCCCAATCCCAAACCACGCCCTCCATAGTTCAGGAACAGGCGGGCTGCGGTCCGGATCCGGACCCAGACGCCGACCTATACGGACCCGGACCTATAATCAATACATTAAAGGTGGGGTAGGTAATTTTGGAGAAACCAGCCCGAGTGCGCTAGAATTTGAAAATACACAGCCGGAAAAAATCTGCCACTTCCTTACAGAGCCCCTCCTCCAACACACACGAACGCGCACATGACCAATGAGGGCACGAGATAAGTTTGTGCACAGATGGAAGGCTGACAGGCAGGGCCGGCCCTCGGCATAGGCAGTATAGGCGAATACTAAGGGCGCATCAACCCATAGGGGACGCCGAAAAAAAAAGAAAGAAAAAAAAGTTAGAAATTAAACAAATATATTTTTTTCAATTTCATAACACAATTTCCCGATTTTGGATCAACAAAGTACATCTTATTATCTTATACTAACAGAACTACGCATATATTGCGTACAGCGCCCATAAACTATGGCACCCCCCCCCAATCAAGTTGAACTGCCCCAGTCCCAGTAAAAACCAGAGGTTTATGTGAAATTGTTCTTTTTTTGAAATAATGATTTTAGTGTGCAATTATAGGGTTTAATTTTGTATTTGTATTCATTTAAAATAAATAAAACTCCCAAAAAACGTACACAGCTTCAGTGTGCTTTTATTAACATTGGAATTTACATTGTAAGCGGCCGCGGGGGGAGAGCTTTAGAGAGCTCTCTCCTGAAAGACTGAGAGGCTCTGATAACCTCAGCTCAGTGAGGTAAAGGCACACCTTTATATGATCATTATAGTTATACAAAAATAAGAGAATAGATTAAAAACAGGTATAAAATACTGACAGTACAAAAAAGTTGTTATTAATAAACAAGAATACAGTGAGGGGGAGTGATTTGTAAAATATCCATAAAGAAAAAGAAAATCTGCTTACAGTTCTGTTTCATATGGGTGTTGAGAGATGTATCCATAGATCTCCTAATGTTGCTCTCAAAGTGCACCAGATTGATGCTTTTAACTTCAATATAAAAAAAAAAGTCTTCCCGGGGGTGCATGCCCCCGGACCCCCCTAGAGGTGGTGAGGTCCCCCCCCACTTAAATCATGTTCAAATGAATAGGAAACGAAATACAGTTGCACACATCTTGTGTCAATATCTTTCTGTTTTGGTGGTCATGCCACAACCGTGCACGCGCGAATCATAGTGAGTATCGTGGGGGGGGGGGCGCCAGCTAAAATGTTGCCTAGGGCGGCCAATTGGTCAGGGCCGGCCCTGCTGACAGGCAGGTAGGCCATCCAGTTATTTTAGCCGAGCCGGCTAAAATGATTGGTCATGCTTTTATAGTACTACGGCTTCCACAGATGACATTTTTTAATGGATTTTTTGTCAAAGCACTTAATATATTCATTGCTATCGGGATGTTAAGAGCATTCCATGGAATATAACAAAAAGTGTATCTCGAGCCGGTTTCTCAAACTTACCCACCCCACCTTTAACTACCCCACCTTTAGGGATTTCAATTTTGACGGGCCGATTCTATTTTAACCGCTGCCGACAGGGGGCGAAAGAGACTAGTGAGCGATACAGGGAGAGAAACACAGAAGAAGAGACGAGAGAGCGGCAGAGAGAAGTGGAGAGGAAAGTAAGTAAAGAGTTGCGATACAGTGAGAGAAGACGGAGAGGCAGGCCCGGCTCCAGGATGAAATGACTGAGGGGGCTGTTAAAAAATCCGAGGGGGGCGATTTTTTTTTTCACAACAATGAAAAATACTGGCAATGTTATTAATTGACACACCAAGCTTTTTCCTTATCACTTCTCTATAATCTCTTTGCTTCTTTATTTTTATTCCGGATTTACCCCTCTCATTCTGTTCTTTTCCTCTGATCTTTAATAATATATAGTACATTATTAGATGCCTGCACTTTGGTTAACAGACTAACATTGATTTCCTCAATTTATAAATTGACAGGATCTGTAATTATACCATAACCTTTTCTCCTCTATCCCTTAACTCGTCTTCTTATTTTCTACGTCACAAAAGTGGTGCTCCGCTTAGTGGTCAATTCTCCACCTATCAGGGGAATGAGAGGTTGGGCCACGGCCGGCCATTGCCGCTCAAAAGCGCTGGAGACCTGTAGTACATACAGTATGCCAGGCCTGTAAGTGGCGCTGTAGTCTGCCACAAAAGCAGCGAAGAAGACTTTCCTTGCATGGTTGCCATGGTTGCCCTTCTGTTTATTCTCCGCTGTGGCTCTTTTTCTCCCTCCCCGAGGCAAGCGTTTGCGCCTCCTGCTTTAAAACAAATGAATAATGACTCTATATAATCATATGTAAGGGATAATGTGCAGCGACGCGGTCATTATGGGGAAAAGAACACCGACAGGCTGATCAGGAGCCCGACGCGGAGGGATCTAGATCAGCATGAAGGTGTTATTTTCCCCATAATGACCAAGTCGCTGCACATTATCCCGCTTATTACATGGCCACATTCTCAACAAAGTAACAATATGACTCCCAATATTAATTGAAATGCTTTTATGGATTTAGAAAATGATTTTATTGATTTAAATTGACATGCATCCGCTAAGAAAAATAGTCCGTTGTTACTGTTTGAACTAACGTAGCAACGGCAGGAACTGCTTCGATAGCGTTTTTGAGGAGCTTTTTGATTACAGATTTGAAAATATCGTTGCTTGCTTTAAAAGTAGCACAATTCATTATGTCAAACCTTGGAAAGTATCTAGATATCCCTGCCCTAATGCCAAAGTAACTGGCAACTGAATATGTGTCGCCGTTTGATGTCTATGTCTGGACCGCTCCGTAAAAAGGAGGGTTTCTGCCCCATTACTTCTCTTCTTACTTCTATAAGAATAAAACACGGAGGACGGAGATCTTTTTTTCTCCCCCTCTTCTGACAGCCCTGCAGCTGATCTCAAAGTACACTCCCCTCTCCTGCAGGGGGGCGTGGTCAGCTGCAGCTCACAGAATCAGCCCCCTGCAAAAACAGTGCTGGAAAGAGCAAATAGAGCGAAATGAGGCATGGCTAAAATGCAGGATCTGTTTGGTATTTTGAAAAAAAAACTATATTTATATACTTTATATAGGTATGGCCCTACAATATATTGTTCATAGCATGATATGTCCCCTTTAAAGAAGAAATAATCTGGTTAATTTTTTATTTTCAGGATTGAATGTTCAAACCAAGGCCTGAAACCTGGCATTTCATAAGAAAGTGACTAATATATATAGGAGTCTAACTGCCATGAGAAAAATCAAATCAATGTTCCA